CATTTTGGGGTTACCCGATTTTTGCAGCCATTCGATCTCCAGTGTGAGCTGCAGGGCTGGAAGTAGTGCAGCTGCTGCACGTGCCCGGCCCCCCGGACCGGTTCGCGATAAGCGACCTGAGGTCGTCCACGTGGAACCAAGAAGTTCCCTTTTGAAGTTGCCCAAAGAATGGCAGGGTACGGGTCTGAGCTTGGGCAAGTTCTCTTAGTATCCAGTATCCCTCTTTGTTTCTCCTATTTCTGCTGAAGTGAGGAAGGCATCAAGCCGTTTGCTGGCTGGAGTGCTGTGCAAGCCGGTGCAAGCACTATCACTGGCTTTTCAGCGTTGCCTTCCATGAGTGATTCTGTTGTTTGTAAGATTTGGCAAAGATGTTTGTTTGCTGCTTCTTTTTCCTGTGGCTTTGTTCTTTTGCTACTTCTTTTTCCTGTGGCTTTGTTCTGTGATCTTGGGCTTCCTAAAATGCCGCACGGTGGCATCTTGGGCGATCTAAGTGCATGGCAGGGAAGGTGCTCCCTCTGCTGTCTCAATGTTTTCTCACGGGGACAGGCTCCAGAGCAAGGGCAAGACCATGCGCGACGGCCGGGCTTGACGCTTAGCTGCGCCATCTGAAAAGTGGTGAGGTAGATCATTGTGTCTTCCCAACGTTTGACACCCCTCAGAGGACTCGAAGACCCAAGAAATCGCCCAGCACCAGACATCGCACAGTTGGGCTTTGCTCAGGGCTCCTTAAAAGATCTCCATTTTGCCTATCTGAAACATGGCTTTTTCAACAGCAACATAAAGTTGGAAACCACCATTTGCAAGTTGCAATGTTCCGGTGTTTTTCATGCATCCGGATCCCTGTTGCTTTGGTGTTGTTTCTATGGGTGCCATTCGCTTTCCACGTGATTCCAACGGAGAAAAACGACCCGCCTCGTTTTCTGCAGAGCTTCTTCGATTCGTTTGTTCGAGGCTCGCACGGTTTGGGTGCGCTACCCGGAGCCATCACGAAAGAAGATCCTGCAGCCGAGCACCTCGGCGCGGGAATTCAGACACGGGTACTCCAAATGGGTTGCCCGTTCCAAAACATGTGGAAACATGGACGAAAACATATTTGCGGTCCGTATCCAAATGGGTGGTTTTTAATTTTGACCCATACCCATTTGGACATGGATGAGTTGCATAGCCCATGGCCGGGTGTGGGGGGGGGGAGAAAGCATCACGATTGCGAGGCTCTCTCCAGGCGCCAAATCCTGATTGCTTTGCTTCTTGGCTGCATGGAGATGTGCGATCGTTGATTTATGTTGAGTTGTGCATTGTGTTACATCCTTTGCCACTGGTAAACCAGCGTCAAACTTACCGGGAAATTTGGTTTTCTGCCTTGGAAGTCCCCCAAAAAAGCGCGGAGACCCACGATTTCGGCTTTTCTGCGAGCTCGGCGCTGCGCTCCTCGAGCGCGCCTTGAGCGCCTTGAGGTGTGCGGCTCGAGGACGGCCCGCGTGGCCGTGAAGAGCTTGGTCGATTGCAAGATCGCAGCCTTTGCCAAGGCACGAAGTCTCTGCTCGTTAAACTCACGTGACTCACGTGATGCGGATATCAAAAAAGGCAAGCAAAATGGGCAGTGCGGTCGTTCGAGCTCGAGCTTGCTCCTTTGCGTGGCATCTTTCGCTCGTTTGCTGGGTGACTTTGCAAGTCAAAGGGGCGAGAGTTTCAAGAAATGCCTTGATTGCGAGTCTTTGCCTACCAAAATTCAACTTCACACCTTAGCCTATCGCAGACACAAACAAATACCGTTGATAATCATATGTTAGTTCTTTGTCTTCTATTGAACCATCTTCCTCCATGGATGACCGCGGTCTCCGCACCTGGACCTGAGAACCCGAGACCTCGAGGGATCCAACGCCAGGGCTGCATCCAGGGTCAGCTGGGAGCGGTTCGCCCGGCGCTCTACGCCAACGGCTCCTGCATCTTCGACCCGGAGCTCGGGCCTCGGTGTTTGTTTTCGCGGCCGGCGGCCGGCGGCTGGGTCTCGGTTACGTCTCGGTGCCATCGTTGGGGTCTCGCGTTTTGAAAGGAAAAGCCGAAGGAGAGAACGTGAAACCGGCATCATTTTTTGTTTGGGGGGGTGCTCTGTCAAAGCACACGACCATACATGTGGATAAATGTAAAGACACACAGTCGCTATACCTGAACATCAAAATATATTTGCATTCTGGAACAAGTCACGGCAGTCTATTGATAGCACTCAAGACTTTGTCAATCGAACTAGAACAAGCGATGATTCGTCCAGGTATCCAGAACCAGGGCCAGACGCTGAGGAGGACCAAGTTGGCGGTCAAACATGGGTATGTCGGTCTTTTTTTAGGGGACCCCATTTTGGTACCCCCTAAAATCTCTAAAATGGCCACGGTTTCCTTTTGGTTGTCCTTTCAAGCCACACCCAAGCCTTCACGAAAGATCACCTTTATTGCCCAATCTGAGCCATGAAAAGCCTCCCATACTTTGAGTGACCGAATTCAGCCATTCGTCTTTGCTTTCTTGGCCAACCAGTGTTGATTTTTCGATGGCTCAAGGCACATGCGAGGCTTGAGGTCCTGTTCCAGCGATGCAGGCAGTGCAGGGGTGCTTATGGGATATCCCATTTTTGCAGCTTGATGTCCTCGTGTTATGTTGGCGCCCGGGTCGTTTTCTTCTTCTTCTTCTCGTTTTTCTGCGGCAGGAAGGCCTTCATCCTGAGTGGAGCCTCACTGAGTGGGGGCTCGGGAGCGGCTCCTTGCTGCAGGCGTGAGCCGGTGAATGGGGCGAAATGACATGTTACGCTTGGTTTGTCTTGACGCCTAGACATAGATATTGTTTTGTTCGCAAGAGAACCTCATCCAAGAAGTTGAAAGTCTGGGACAATGGCAGGCAGACAGGAATCTAGGTGGAGACTTCACGAACTTGGATGTAGACCAAGTGGAATGCCTGTCCCTGTGACCTACAAGATGAGAGTAGCCAAACCATCCCTTGCTCAAGACCAGATGGACCATCATTCTGCCGACTTCCCATGTGCTGATTTGGGAGTGGAATTTGCTGGGGTCCCCCCCCCCCGCCCACTTAATTTGCAGAAAAGCCTGACTGGGAGTGGAATTTGCAGAAAAGCGCGGCCCACTTCGCAACATATCCTTCGGCTTAGTCCAAACTCCGGCTGGCGAAGTCACACCAAATTCGACTCACCGCAGAGCTAGGTGGAGGACGAAGGCCAGGGCTGGTCCATCAATCTGGTGCTTCGAGAGGAGCAGAGATTTGGGGAGGGCCGGGAGAAAACTCCTGGGCGACCTTTGGCCCAAAAGACCCACAAGACATTTGGGATTTGGCCATCCGGTTCCTGGGCTTACACTTTTTTTGGGAAAAAGTGTGGGCGGGTCCATTTTTCAGCCACTAGAAGCTTTCTGACGTTAGGGGATGTGAGGGCAGCCCAGTGAAGTCGGAAGGGAAAGTGGACCAAACATTTCAGGAATTCCCATGTTGCAACTCTGGGCACGAAAACCTTCGCGGCAGATCGTTTCGGACTTGCCCTTCAATTGGGACTGCTGATGCGACAAAAAGTTATGGCCGTCCTTTTTGGGGCTCTCTGCCCGCTCGTGCCCTGGGTCGCAACGCGATTGGCGCTTCGGGATGTGCCGTAGAATAGGAGAGCCCTTGCTTACATGTTTGAACGCGAAGCCAAACTGAGCCATTGTTTTGTATTGGTCGCCTACTTGGGGGACGACCTGTGTTGTTGTCCTTTCAACAATCCGGGTCTGCGGATATGCCTGCAATGTGGCCAACTGGGCAAAATCAAATCTTTGCCATACACACTTCGAGGTAGCACGTGGGTATTTAAATCTCAGAGTTTGACTGTTTACATATGTTTACATGCTCCAGTGCTGCCGGGAAGAGTGTGGGCAGACCGTGTTATTGGGTGTGCCCTTTTTTAGGGCACCCCCCCAAAGAAGAAATAGTAATGATAATAATGAAAAAAACAATAATATACAAACAAATACATGTGTACATACATGCATCAATAAATAAATAGCTAAATATTCAAATTAAACACAAATAATCAAATACTTCGCTTCGAGCAATCCCCACCCTCCACACTCACGAGCTTACGACCGTTACTACTCGGCACGGCAAGGGATCGGGATACTCGGCAGGGATACTCGGCGGGATCCACTGGCGGGCTGCTCTGGCAATATACTTGGCGGGATCCACTGGCGAGCCGCTCTGGCGGGGTACTCGGCGGGATCCACTGGCGAGCAGCTCTGGCGGGGTACTCGGCGGGATCCACTGGCGAGCAGCTCCGGCGGGATAATGGGGCGGGGGTCGTGGTGTAGAAGCATCGCAAACGCGGATTCCAACATAAAATCTAACAACCCCTTCCTGTCAGGTGAAGAATACACGTGATAAAGCACAAATAAATTAGAATCGGTGGTCTTCCTTTTGGTTTCCCCTTCCAAACGCCATGACCAAGGCACCACCCCCCAGAGGTTCCGCGGCGGCGCACCGCTTTGAGCCCGCAGGAGCCGGATCTGGATGAGCAGCACTTTCCAAATGGCTTCAAGGCAAGCGCCGAAGTCCATGGCATGAAGCTCCAATGGGATGCAACACCGGTTCTTTTTTTTTGTCAGTTTTTCTTTTTTTCTGTTTTTCCTTTTTTTTCTTCGTTTTTTTTCTGGGGCATCCAACTTTGGGTGGCTTGAGGGAAAAGTCTGCATCCAACTTTGGGGTTAAGGGAATCCAAAAGAACACCCGCCTGCCATTGTTAAAATCCCCTTCTGAGACAAGCCCTAAATGGGCCGGCTGGCTGGAGCTGGGTCTCTTTGTGCCGGCCGCCTTTTGGAAGGCGCGTAGATCGCATGGCATTTGAGGTCGGTGACTTTCAGCCAGCCAGGCGGTGTACGGATTTTTTGTTTTTTTCTTTTAGCTCGCGGTTGGGCCGTTACCCAAAACGGGGTCCCCCAAACGGGGTCCCCCAAACGGGGTCCGAGCCCAAAACGAGCGGCCCCAAAACGACCGCCCCCAAAGTTCACTGGCCACATCAGGTGGAGGCGGGCGCCGGCGCCGGAGAGGAAGCTGCCAAGGAGACGAAGCGGCCGATCTGGCCTTCGGAAGCCGGTGCATTTGTCCGCGGGAGAAACGCTGCTACTCTCGTAGGTGCCTTGTGGATTCGGTACATGGAAGAGGTTCCTGCTTGGTTTTAGGTGAAAAGCGCCTGCGCTTTGAAGCTGACCCGCCCTACTGTTTCCTCCATCTAGCATGCAACTGGATTGTGTCCTTTCAGACATCAATTGCCTTGAACGAGAACTCTGAGCACCGAATGGGAGGCATGCTGGCTATCGACTTCAAGATATTCTAGTCGACAACGGTTTCCTTTCGCTGTGGCACACTTGAAACATTCTCGCTTGTCCAAAAAAGGACCTGGGAGTCTTTTCTTCCTGGCGGCACATGTTTGTTGGAAGTGTTTGGGTGAATTCGAGGAAGCGGAGGCGTGGTGAAACACGGGCATGGGTCAAAATTAAACCAGGAGACGGCAGGTTTGAGTCCTTGGTTCCATTTAATCATGGTACCTACTGTGGATGGACGAAATCCTGCACCACCCAAGAAACCCTGGAATGTTTGGATTCCCCTGCAAACACCAGCAAACAATGGTTTGAACCATGGTTTCCAAGTGGTGCGAACGGATTTCGCAACCATCCACCGTATGTTTGACCCACAGCCTGACTTCTTCGACCACCCACGGACCTGGCCCAGGACATGGCGGAAAAGAAGCGGAAGGCTGACGCCGAGGCAGCAGAGGTCTGGCCCGAGTTGTTTTTTTCTCCGGGAATTCTCAGTGTCAGGTGACAGCATCAGTTGGGCGGGCGAATTCTCACTCACATGATTCTGGAAAGTAATTACCATTGTTCAGAAACAGACGAAGCTTTCATTGAGATCAAATGCCAGCCGATGTTCGGCTGTCAGTTGAGCCTTTGTATGAGCCATCGGAGTTGCGGCCTCTTTGACTTCCAAGATTTTTCCCACAGCCGGCCCGGCGACTGACCGAGCGACGCGAGGTGAATGCCGCCAAGAAGGCAACGCTGGACGCCAACACTGTGGCCGTGGACTGACAGGCGAGAGCTCGCGACGGGGTTGCGAGTGAGGCGGTTCGAGGGAGACGACGGGCTCCAAACCATTGGAGGGTCAGGGGCGGCTTCCCCTTGCCCATGGGTGCGGATATCCTCCTTTTTCTATTCGTGATTTGCATGGTTCTGGGTAAACCATTCCAAGACGGGGTTTTGATTGTGACTCAGGTGTTCGGGTGAGTGCCGCTTTGCGATCGAGGATTTGTCGATCGTGTTTCCAAGGCGGGACTTGGAACATCTACTCTCTACTCGACATAGGTTCCGCTACTTTTCATTCCAGAACGTAAACCATCCCTCAAGAGTGGTGCAGCCGTGGGGTGATGTACTATGCTAGCTGTACTGCGATGCTAGCATGGCACTGTGCAGGTTGGGCCGGCGGTATTTTGGGCTTCAAGAGAAAGGGCGCGCGGCCTGCTGACGTGACTGGCAGCAAATCACAAGCCATGACTGACTCCGCTAAGCTGCGATGTCGCAGCGAGACTCACGCGTGAAAGGCTGTGAGACCTGAGATAGCGATGAAACCACCCAAAAAACCTCGTCTTGGGGCGCGGAAGGAATGGACGCAGAGTGGTTGCAGCCCCCTATTATGACAAATGGGCCGTTTAATTTTGGTCTCCGCTCCAGATATCCCCTTAAAACGGGTTGCAGAAGGCTCCTTTCGAACGCCCCTCCATGGATCGTCGCGAGAGAGTGGTTTTGGCTCAAGCTGATTGGAGCATCCAGCCATGGAGGCCTGGTTGAGTAGCCATTGTGCAGACTGTTTGATCCAAATATGTACGGTTGATTTCCTCAAGAATCAAGTAGGGAATAAGGCAACAATTGTAATTTAGTATACTTGACGGTACTTTCTACTGTCCGTTTTTTAGGGAACCGGCCGATAAAACGTCTTTAAAATCACGCAGAATCACGAAGCCATGCGTTGAAGTGTAAGTCAAGGACCCCACACTGACAAAGCACTTGCTAGCATTGGTCTCACGCATGTCCGATCATATTCCAAAGGCCCAGCCAATTGTGAAATGTCCTCGTCTGCCGCTCAGAATTTTTCTGACCATGGTTCATACAGTCAAGCGCTGGGCAAGACTCGGTTTTGGCGTAAACATCTTTGCAACTCGTGAAAAGGCAGAAGCACAACATCCGCCGTTCTGTGCGTCGAAGAGTTTTTCTTTCTCCAGCGTTCAACTCATGAGCTGGAAAACATCATAAATAATATCCGGATGTTTTAGGAGATTCGCCCACTATCACGCCCTGCATGCGTAGTATCTGCGCCATGGTCAAAATACTTGATTGTGCATGGGCATGGCCATGTTTTTGTGCATTCCGAATTTGAAGGAACCGATTTCTTGAACCGATTCCTTTCCCGCTCAGCTGGGTCTGCTTCTGTTGAGTTGGTACCCCCGATTTGGCGGTTGTTTCAAGGGAAACCAAAAGGACAAAAACGCGTTGATTTTTTCGGGGAGAAGAGAGGAACATCAAGCCATTTTGATGTCCAAACCCAGCAAATACACAGACTCACGCTTTTGGCCATGTTTTGAAATAAGGAACCCCCTGAAAAGTGGTTGGTGGACATAAAAGCCCTAAGTTTGGTGTCCACCATTTCGGGTCCCTGTATTTCCCTTGGTTGCTTTAAGCATCACCGTTTTGGCGACCATGAAGGGTTTGTGTGTTCTCTCGGGGTGAAGTTTGGAGCCCAACCCAACGAAAGGATGCCCTTTTTCTCTTTTCCCCATGGAAAATCCAGGCATCTGAGAACAACAAAGGATGCCGATCCTTCTTGCCCCATGAAAATGCCCACGCATCTGAAATCAACAAAGACACCCATTTGGAGACACACAAAGCTTGCTCCGTCTCTCGCCGTCTCCGCCTCTCCGGTCCGCTAGGAGGCCGTGGGGCGGCTGGCGCAGCTGGACGTCAACGTCAAGGATGCCTTCGCCAAGCGCATGGCGCAGGCCCGGCTTTCGACGGCGGTTTCGACGGCCGTTTCGGCGGGCGTTTCGGCGGGTGGAAACTCCACTTTGGGGCGAAAGCCAAAACCCCACGCCAAAAGGCCCCCACTTTGGGTCCAAAAGCCAAGAAAAGAGAAGAAAGGAGAGCCACAACGGCAACTTCCATTGGATTCTGGCAGCATGCAAGCAATCAACGAAGCCTGAAGTGAAGCCTCTAAGAAGTATGGCTCTTGCAAGCGGCTGAGCGGCTGCCCGTGCAAAGAGAATGGCTGAAATCTTGTTGAACGAACGGGGTGGATCCTGTCAAGCGGTGGTGTTCGTCGGGGAGAACTCCTGTCGGTGGATGTCTTACCCTGTTTTTGGCGGTTGATTGTGCCGAAAGGACCTCCGAATGTAGGTGCGAAAGACTTGACAGGCGCTTTCCAATTCAAAGACCTCAGCCGCAAATTCCCATTTGACCTCTCACGCGCAAATTCCCTCGGCCGAGTTTTCCCTCGAGCCAGTGAGCCGGCCGTCGAAAACGGGCGAGAAGCCCTGCGCGAGGTGCAGCAGGAGCTGGAACAGATGCAGAAGTTGCAGAACGAGGTGAAGGGCGAGGAAGCGAAGTTCCTGAAGGAAGTCCAAGGTCGGAGCGGGTCCAAATTCTCGCCTTTGAGCAAATTATCGAATGCTCTTTGACCGGGCGTGCTGGATTGGAGTGAAGAAGTTCCTCCCCGAAATCTGAGGGAAGTCCATGAAGGGGAGTGCAAGGGGTCTATTTTTTTCTTCATACTCAGATCTATGAAGTAGAGGTTGGCCTGTGAAGCAGAGGTGCCGATTGTGACCCTGTGACCCAGACATTTGACGCAGCTCCAAATGCTGGCATTGGTGACCTCAATGTATCCCGGATCGGAGCGCAGCTCTTCCCGACGCTCCCGACGCTCTGTGAAGCTCCCCAAACTCATCCAGGAAATTATCTGAACCCCCTGAAACACACCGGTGTTGTTACGCGAACTACTTTTTTAACACCCCCTCAAACACCGGTGTGGTTGCAAACCGGAGAACGTCCTAGAGCTTTCTTCGCTGTGAGATGTTCTCAGGGCACCAGAGGGAGCTTGAGCAGATCTCCAAGCAGCTTGGTCTGGCGCTCGGCCGGCCTTCCCGACGGAAAGCAGGGCAACGTTTCTTTTAATGGGGGTCGTTTCGCTCGGCTCGGTACCCTTGACACACGGGGCAACCCATCCAATAGGGAGACAATCTGGGGTCTCCAAATGGGAAACAAACATGATCCCAATGGAAATGGTGTTCCTCTATCCCAAACGAACCCCACAAAAAATATCGAGCCTCAAACAAAATGACCCTTTTTCCCCCCCCCCCCCCGTTCTCGGTTTCCTTCGGAATCGAGTTTGATGTGGCCATTCGTGAATGTCTGGGTGGAAACTACAACACCCCATATCCCAAGTCAACCCTTCCGGAAGCCCCCCATTTGGTGGCCCATGATTTGAACCTTCGGGAGCACTTCTCTGACGATGGTCGCGCGGTAAGTTCACATTTGTCCGGTGCTAGGAGACTTTGTTGAATTTGTTTTGCTCACTGAGAAGGAGAATTGTACGTCTAGCTGCAACTAGGTTTATTTTATTCTTTTCCAGTGCCAGGGTATGGTTCTGTGTTGTTTATTTTTTGCTTCAGGTAAGCATCCCAAGCCTTTGGTCAAATTTGCGGGCCTAGTGGTAATTGGCTGAGTAGAATTCAGCCTACAGATTAACCATCGATGCGGTGCAGTTTGCAGTTCCTACGGTTTGTATGGCACTCAGCTTGCTCACTAGACAGACTCCTTCAGGCACATGTCTGGCAAAGTAATTACCTTGAGAGGCGAAGTGACAAAGAGGAGTCCAATAGGCCCGATCTGTGCAACAGGCACATTGAAATACGTCACATCTTGCGGTTGGGAGAGCATGGGAGAGCATCTAACTTTTCTTGTGACATACGGTTGTGGTGGTCAAGACCAATGGGATCCCATTTTGGGGTGGGTTTATGCCGCTCATTTAGAACCTATCTTGGTGGTTGGATTGAATCGGATGTTCACTAGGGCACGGCTTTTTGGTGTTGAGCCATGGCCATAGGAGTAACTGAGATCTCAGGCTATGCCACCACGAAGAAGCAGAAGCTTCTGAAGGCGCGGTGTGCTGAACTGAATGGCAGCTGGCAGTTTCGGCGGCCAGGAGTTGGAGCAGTGCACACAGGACATCGAAAACCTCGAGAGGCGGAAGGAGGTGGGGGTCTGGCCCATGTAAGCCATCTTAAGGGGGGTCCAAAAACAGGGCTCCTTATAAGATACATTTTGCCCATTTGAAACATGGCTTTTTCCACCAGAATAGAGGGAAACCACTATTTACAAGTTGCAATGTTCAGGTGTATAATGTAAGGATCCCTGAAAAAGGGGGGAGGGGGGCGAGAACTCCTCCACTCCATCCATCCCACGCGCAGGAGACAGCTCGAAAGATGTGCGAGCTGTGGCCTCGGAACTTGCACTTTGTGCGTCGCTCACGCGCACACGCGCTCGCTCCAGGGTGGCTGCGGAGGCGGAGAGGCCCGAGGGGAGGGCGTAGCTGGGCTTGAAAATTGTTAGGACCGGAGCTCAGTTGGCTGTGGGTCAAAAGAAAGGTACCAAAATGGCACCTTGGCAAATGGAACCAAAGACTAGACCTGGGTAACCCCAGTTGTTTAATTTTGTGCCACACCCAGTTCTACTTTCTGGAGTGGGGAGTGGTTTTGAAACTTCACATCGGCCCTTCCTACCATGTTCGAACTCAAGCTCAACAGGTTCCGGGGCAGTTGTTTCTGGGAAAGTTTCGGAAAGTCTTGACTCGACTGTTGAGCGTCCAACTCTGATTGCAAGCAGCGCAACGCTTGACCCAAATGTGTTTCGCTGTCTTGTGTTGGAGGCAAACAAGCGGAGAGGTCTCATGCGAAGATCGTACCTGCGGCTCTTGCTTCGCGGGTCCACCCCGGCGATCGCTCGGCGCTCGGATCCGACCCGACGCCAGGGTCAGAGTGGAAAAGCTGAGTGGAGCCAGTGGCCAAAGCCCCAGTCACGATCCAGTCGACTGGGCCGACTTGAGTCGCCTACTTCTGGGTGGCTCGTCTTGTTGGGATTCGGAGCCCCCCAAATGGAGGGCTTCCTGTTGGTTGTCGGGGTACCCTTAAAACAGACACGCCCATTTGCGTGTTCACATTTGTGCTGGGAGTTGAGGGGTGAATGTGAACACGCACCGACATCCTAATTGTAGATGTCTACTATTGGAACATGCTCTTGCGAGGGACTGGTGCTCTTGCCTCCATTTGGGCGCAGCTCAAAATCAAATAGCTGGGGTTGCGCAGGTTTCGTTGTTTATTTCATCCAAGGGCCAAAAATGGGTACCACCTTGTGTTGAGCCACTGCCATTTGACCACGCATACTTGCTTGACTTGGTATACAGCTTTCATTTGGCACCAGTCAAGTTCGCGAGGATGCAACTACTTGCTCTAAGTAGTATGCAGCTTTGACCATTTACGCGGAACTCAGCCTAGACGTCACAGCAGAAGAGCTATGGACCCCTGCAACTCAAATCTCATCTCCGCCAGAATCGCTGCATTTCGCGCCGAAGCCCGCATGGGGGCCCAGTGCACACGGGGAAAGGTTCAGCCCTCCGGTATGACAAGCCTTCGATCAAGTGAAAGGCTGTGCGACGCGATAATTTTGTTGTGGCAGCTACTTGCTCATACTCAGACGGCTCCGACTTTGGGTGTGTCTTTTGTTGAAGTTGGCACCCCTTTCGCTTTTCCCTTTTTCTTTTGTCTTTTTTGGAGTTGGCACCTTGTCTTTTTCTTCTTTCTTTCTTTCTTTCTTTCTTTTTTTCCGGGAAACCAAAGGAACGCCCGTTGCACAAAGATTCATGACATCCCATTGGAATACCCACAGATGTGCGAGTCCAAATATGAGGAGGAACCACGGGTCTTATTCGTTTAGCAGCTTAGCATGGGCTAGTGACACCTTCGTGGTTTGCTCGTTTGTTGGCTGCTTGCTTGCTTGCTTGCCTGCTTGCTTGCCTGCCTGCTTGTCTTTCTTGTTGTTTGAACAGTTTGGTCGTTATTTGGGGTTTGCCGCGTCGGTCGGGTCAGAGGGGGCGAGAGCGGGGGGCGCAAGTCTGCACTGTTTCCTGCTGCGCACACGAATCTCCAGCAGACCGAAGTCAAACCAAAGCAACCCAACACTTAAATCTCGCTCAGTCATTGATCAAGCCAGCTTCAACCCTCGGATGTTCCGCCTACGCAGAAGTAAGCGCAATCGGGCCGAAACAAGCAAGAAGAGTCAGCTGTTTACAGCAAACAAGAATAAGCAGGAAGGAACATGCAACACTTCCACGCAGTCCGCCGCATCCGGACTACCTCACCCGGGAGAACAACACCTGCCGATTGGTTCAGACCAGGTTCGGGGGGGTTGACCTTCCCCCCCCCCGAGGTGTCTCCGAGCAACGCGGAGATCAACCTTTGCGACCTCCTCGAGGTTCGGTCCGACCGTCGCTGTGAGAGACTCGAGCCTCTCCCGGCTTTTGTGGGGGAGTATCCCTCAAATGCAGACACAAAAGCGAGAAGCACGCACAGCGCATAGAATTATATATATATATATATCTATATATATATATATCTATATATATATATATCATTATATATATATATATATCTTTCTTCCCCGCAAAAATGGCGCACGGGTGTTTACAGTCCTCCCTCGTTCAATGAACGTGCATCAGGAAGGCAATGAAAGGATTGGGGCGACGCATCATTGGAACAAGCTCCGACACACAATGAATGCCTCAACTCAGATCAGTGTTTTCCATCTGATCCGCCCAGATGCGTGACCATTCGACTTGCAAGGGCTTCAACTTAGCATCAACTTCGCACTTGACAGGACACGTCTGCCGCCGCCCAGCTCTTAGTGTCCACAACATGTGTTCCATCATCTTGCTCGATGTGTTGTCACAAGCAGGTGGCAGTTGAGTGGATCACGAGTTGAGTGGGCGTTGGCTTTTTGTTGGCACTGCTTGTGCAGAACCAGTCTCGATCGCAAAGCAACTCATGCCATGCCAAAGAACCCGTTGGCTGACTGGGAAGCGTTTCGTCACAGAACGCTTTCCCGTTTTTGCCACGTGCTTGGCATTGACTGCCACGTGTTTGGCAATTTTGGGACCGAAGGCAGGAGAAGTCAATTGGGACCCAATGGCAGCTTACTTTACAGGCCTTCTTTAAGCTGGTCCAAGCCAGTTGAGATGACAGGCTCCCTCTTCCTATTGATTGGTTTAGCTTTCTCAGCTGAGCACAGGTGCGGGCAAATGCACCATGCGTCAACACTGGCTGAGCTGGAGGAGACTCTGCAGAGTCTCAACACCAGCCAAATCTTCTTCGACTTGGACGAGACATTATTAATGCCCGAGACACCTTTCATCTACGGCATGCCAGAAAGTGATGCGTTTCTTGCGCGTTTGGAGCCATGCGAGCAAGCGGCTTTGCAAGACCTGCGGCCACGAATGGAGGCTGCCTACTATGCCTCGCCGTTGAGGTTGGTGGATCCTGGGCTGCCCCAGTTGATTGCAAGCCTGCGGGCGGACGGCAAGGCGGTGCATGGACTGACCTCCCGTGCCACTGGCCCAGTGGAATATGAGTGGCACAACTTTGTGGCCCTGGATTTTCTCTCGGCGGCCAACATTCGGTTTTCGGACTTCCCACGTGGAGCCGGGAACAACACCTCCATTGGAGGGCTGAAGTTTGTCGGAGGGGAGAAGCAGAACAAAGGATCCTTCATTGCAAGCCTGGCAAGAGAATCGTCAGGCGCAGCTGTCCTGGTGGACAACACACTGAGCAAGATCGAGCACGCAGCGCAAGCCGCGTGCTTGCAAGGTGTTCACTTCACCGCAGCCCACCAAATCGAGCAGAGCGCGAGTTCCCGTCGAGATTGGATATGTACACAGCTGGCAGAGCTGGGAACGCGGTGCCCTGCGTGCCAGGCCAACGAGGAAATCTAATTCAACTTTGTGCAAAAATACTGGCGGGCCGCCCCCCAACCGCTGCCAGTCTCTCCCAGATCACTTGAGTACGGGTTTGAAATGTTTGAACTATCATCCGCTGCCACTCCAGCACAAAGAAACTGCCAAGAGGCACGTCTGAGCTCGACTCTGTGTTTGGGTGCCGTGGGTCACAGCAATGTCCGTGACCAGATGAATCGATGAAGCGGTGCTTTAAGTGTCCAGCTCGTCTTTTTGGCTACTTTACAGAAGATGCTTGCGAGACTTGCCCTCTTGGACCTCTTGGACTTCGACCTCCACAGTCGAAGTTCGCCCATCCGCTCTTCAAAGATTCAGACCCGCGGATAGTGTGGCGTTACTTCAGCCCGTGCAAAGCGGCTTTTTGTAGGTCCGCCGCGATGCTGTTGGAGCCGACATGGCAACTGAAAGTTCAAGAGCCTCCCTCACCTGCGCAGCGCAGGTTTGTCGTGGAAGTTGTGGCCTGAGAGCAATGCCCTCCACCCACACTTGCATGGGAAACCAGCAAGTCACACCTTCGGCTTCGTCTGTGAGCTATGCATTCTGTCGTTGGAACCCTGCACATTCAACTTGACACTCTTTGAAATGAGTGCTCCAGCCGGTTGGTTTCATTGAGGACACCCTGCCGGGGTTGAAGGTAGGGCCCAGCGAGCTGAGGCGAAGCCAAAGAGCAACGCGCCAGCTTTGGACCGCATGGGTTCTGGCGAAGAAACTCAGACCGATTGGACAGGTCCCTTTTTCGCAAGCGCATCTAGGCTTGCAATGGGCACCACGTTTGTGGCGATGGAACGGCCCGCATCGGAATGAATCTTAGGAATGGCTCGGGTTGGCCAAGACTTGCATGCCCAACTCACTAGACACGAAGCCTGGTTCAGTGCCAAGTAGAGTTCAAGAGTTAGACGTGGGACTCATGAACTCGCCTTTTGGCCTGGGAGGACCTTCTGCACTTCGATCCGAACCCAGGCGACGAGTCGAGTCAAAGCGAGCGTCCACATGTCCCAGTGGGATGGTGCTCAGGGAATCCGAGCAGTTGATCGCATGGGACGACCATTATGGGGAACCGCCAAAAAGACGACTTTCTCGGAAAAGTTACCAATGGTCATTTGGGGGCCAGGAATATGGATCAACCCCCAAATGGAAACCACTCATTCTGCAAATCCCCCCCCCAATTTGCAGTTGCACATGCACCCACATCAGCTTGTCATGAGCCATCCACACCATTCAAGAACGGTTCCGAAATCAGGCATGTTGAAATTCGTCAGTTCCCATTTGTTGGTGCGCACATGGGATGGTTTTCCATCGGAACACGAGAGAAAGAGAGTTGAACCCAGGCACATGGTTGAAAAGTTGGGGTCCAACACGAGAAACCACGAACGCCGAGATGAGGTTTTTCTCCACCTGGGGGGGTGCCCATGGCCAAAACTGCGCCTGTCGATCCAGGCGATGTTTCAAGCGCTCGGCCCTGAGAAGGTTTTTTCGTTCAGAGAATGGCTCGTCTTTTGTCGGAGTTGGTCCGACGTTTTCCCTTGGTTTAAAGGAAGGCCAAGAGGAAACCGAAGCCATTTTGGGGGTCCAAATCCTAAGAAGAGACGCAGAATAGCATTGGGTTCATCCATTTGACACACTAGAGGGGATTGCGAAAAGAGGGGCGCAGCTAGGATTGGATTCCTTCGTTGCAAGGCTTTGCGCCTCCGTCAATGCTCCAATCCTCCCACTGCCGGCGGTTGACGCTTCCTGTGCTCAGGTTGCAAGGCATGGGCAAGATCAGCAGCAGAGCCCAGCATTTGGGGTAAACACACACTCAGTGATGCTGGCACTTCCTTTGCGTCCGGCACGGGAACTGGCAAGTCTCCTTGTCCATGTGTTTGGCTTCAATTTTTTTCGGGTTGCCTTGCAAGGCTGTCATCAGTTTTTGGGACGTGCCAAAGGGGACGTGGCAATCATGAGGCCATCGTTTGGATAGAAGGCACCTCTGTGTTGGGCACGGGACCAACAACAATGATTGGAGCTGAGCTTGTGGCTATTTCGTCAGTGCTCAGGAGAAACGATGGCCCGGGGCCAAGAGTTCAGCTATGCAGATTGGAGAAAACTCCGACAAGACTCCTTTGGCCCGCGCAACATGTCGCCAACGTCCAGCTGAGGTGCTGCTGGTCATAGCATTCCATCCAACTGCGGTACAACTGGCGGTGGCTGCTGCAACGGCTGCAGCGGCAATGGCTACAGTGACTCTGGCTGTGGCTGTTGTGGCTGCGGCTGCACTGGCTGTGGCTGCTGCAGTGGCTGCGGCTCCGGAGGCTGTGGTTATGGAATGAATGGTGGCAGTGGCTGTGGTGGCTGCAGTGGTTGTGTTGGCTGTGACGGCTTTGGCGGCTATGGCTGCGGTGGCTGCGGTGGCTGCGGTGGCTGCGGTTGCAGCACTGCTTTCAACACCCACAGTGGAGGGTGCCCTGGGTGCGGATCTTGCAGTGGCGGCTGTGGATGCGGAGGATGCGGCGGTTGTGGGGGCTGCGGCGGTGCATGTGGTAGCAGCTGCTTTGGTGGCGGATGTGGCTGCTGTGGCTGTAGCGGCTGCGGTGGCGGATGCGGCTGTGGTGGCTGCGGTTGTGGCTACGGCGGATGCGGCTGTGGTGGCTGCGGTTGTGGCTGCGGTGCATGGAACCCGGGCTGTGCAGGTTGTTCTGCCCCCGGTCCTGCCAACTTCGCCAACTTTGGTGATGCATGTGGGGGCGGTGTGAGTGCTTGCGGCGGATGTGGCTGCTGCGGAGGCTGCCACGGATGCTCCGGCAGCTGTGCCAGAAGCCCATCCAGCATGGACAAAGCGGAAGCTTCGTCAAGCGCTAAGGCGCAAGAAGGCTTGGCTCTAGAAGTTCAAACTTGGACTGGCCTGAGTTCCCGTGCATTGCCCTAAGGGATCGGGGAAGGGAGCCACAAGCGCAGATTTGGGAATGTCTTACCAATCACAAAGGGGATCTTCCCATATAGTATTATGCTTTTGACGCTTGGGCAGTTTCCGTGTTTTTTTGGGGGGGGCTTGCACGCAAGGATGCGAAGGGTCGATATGGAACACCTATCTTTGTTACGGCGTTGCAGGGTGCGACTTTCCCAGGTGGCGCAATGGCGCGCTTGTCCAGGCTGCAGATGTACGAGCAGAAAGCCGCTGAAGACTTTGACGAGCTGCTGAAAATGCCGCTGGCCAAACCCGGCCGCTGACACTCGAGCCCCGATGACCCCAATCTCACCGAGTTTCCTGTTTGGCATGGGCTTTGACCCTCCGCTTTGTTCAATTTCACAGTTCGAGTATCCTGCGTGCACAAAGCCGGCACTTGGCGTCGAAGACTCGACATTGCCCCGATAACACCCATGCTGCCCATCGCAG